TGTTGGTGGTGGCGGAGGGAAAGCCATACCCATCGGTATAGGTGGAGGCATTGGAGGCATCCCAGGAAGTCCAGGAATGATCGGAGGCATTCCAGGCATCGGCGGTGGGAACGGTAGTCGCCCAGGAGCGTCTGAGAATATCTGAAAAAGAAGAGCATGGTAATTTGTGAGAGTAGATTCGCTCTGCGAAAGGCAGGAAACACACCTGGTTGGGACGATCCTTCGGGAACAAGGGATTCTGGGCAGCCAGCATACGTTCTGCTGCTGTACCGTGTCGTTCACCCTTCGCATCTTTTTTGAAAGCGTATGAAACGGAAATCGCTCTGTAACGTTACTATCGAAAAGGGAAATTCTAGTAAAGTGACTATTAAGATACTTGCCTATTGCAGAGAAATTGTCCATTCATAGCCTCCATTGCCATATCGGATGCCTCGAATGATGCAAAGTTAATGAACGCAAAACCTTTACTGTTGCCAGTTTCCGGATCACGCATGATTTTGGGGACCTGAAACGATTTTAGTTGATTCTCAAATCCTTGGAAGTCATCCAATGAAACTGCCAAGCCGTCAAAGCTTTCCAGAGGAAAAGAGATCTCACTTGTAAAATAACACCGAATGCACTGAAAGTATCATATAGAAGCTTTTCATCGACCTGAAACATGAACTTTTTAGCAAACAACAACTGCACTGGCACGATCAGCAGGAAAAAAGTATACCTCTGAATCGAGATTTCCCACAAAGATATTAGCTCCAACATCCATATTTTTCTCATGAGCGCTAGCCTTGTTCACCTTAAAAATGTGGCTGAACATCTGATACACAAGCCGGTGGTCAACAGTAGGCTAGAAGTTGAAGGTGCCAAGCGGCTGGTAGCTCACAGCAAAAAGAAAAACTTCTGAAAACTTCTGAACTCACTTTTATAGGCTTTCCGTACAACTTAATCATATTAAGAATCTTGATTGCGTAGTCAGCATCCTCCTCACCAACAAATTCAACAAAACCGAATCTGCAAGTGGCACTAATCTTATTCAGATATAGGATTCAAAAAAACCCACACCAGAAAGCCAGGGGTTGCTGTGGAGGGGTTCATGTTCGGATGTGAGAAGTTGTTCTAAGCCGCGAGGAAAATTCCCCGATCGTTAACCCGTTGTTTTACATACCCATTAGTCTTTTACATATACCATTTACGTCGGGGATGCGGCAAAGCTGTTCGTGCGACTACTATCCCAATTCCCCTATTTTGCAGACATTCAGGTAAGACTTTGATGAATTTGGCGAACGTTGTAGAAGGTCGTGGATGGGCTTTTCAAAGGAGCGTATCTCTGCGGACATCGTAACCGCGAATCTCATTGAATTGATGTTGGATCCTGCTCACAGGAGCCAAGGGTCTACAGTCGACCATGGCCATTCAAAGATTAGATTAGTATCAGCGTGTGGCGTCTCGGGGGACGCTGAACTCCGAATCCTGCTTTCAAAATTGCCCGAACGATTCGTATGTGGGAGTAGGGAGAGGGAGGGGGGGGAGGTTCTAGCATTGTACTTACGATCCTCTGCGTTGCTCAAGTTAAGTTCGAGTACAATCAGGAGCAAGCGGTGGATGTAGTGGTGGATAGGTAGGTTGCTTCATAGATGGGAGAGGTGGGTTCGTGGGTTCGATTCCTTGACAGGGTCGGTCTTTTGCTTTTTTCGGAACGTCTTCTGCGAGTTTAGAAAATAGTTTTATCCAATATTTTGTTAAGCTTGCTACTACCTGTAGCACGAAAAGACTCAAGTGCAGGCATTGCTGCCTCTCTCTCGGACTTTTAGCCATGCTTACTTTACTGCCCCAAATCTCCCGAAATCAGGCCAGTTTTCGACCGACTTTTTTCTTCGTAAGCAGAATTGACTAAAAAGTTGTCTACTAGGGTAGTCTGACCTTCCGCGCATGAATATCACATCCGATCGATAAACCTCTAGCGCCCGCGACGAAATACCTTTAAAATCACCAAGTTTGCTGAAAATTGTCAAACTGGCGAGTAGTTTCACCGCCTTATCAACACTTAATATCCATGAGGCTCAACCCGAAAATGCATGGCGCCGCTCCAGAGAATACTCAGATATTCACCAAAACCGCTAAACTTATTCAAACTGGATCAAGTATTACCTCCTAAAACGTAATATCAACATCTGTTTGGGGCGTGAGAGAAGGTTAAAGATAAGAGAAAGGGGTAAAGTGATTTGGCAACGTGCATCTCCACACCCTCCCCTGAAGCTGGGACCCCTTTATTTGTTAGGCTGAGCTGTAGTAAAGGAAGAGGTATCACCACAGCAGGCACAAAGGGTGCTGCGGTATCTTCACAGTTGGCCCTAACTGCCGCCAGGCACAAGAGCCCTGCACGAGAATCGACTGGATCTATGCTACACGCGCCGGAGCCGAAACAAGCAGGTGATGGGTTGCTTGTGCCGTATGCCTCAGGCGGCTTCAGATTGTACGGTATTTGATATTCGTGTTTAGGGGGTGAAACTGCCTCACAGTGCACAAGTATTTGACGCGAACTTGTGATTTAGGGTATTTTAGCGCTGGTGTTTGTAGGCGTAGGGCGCTAAAGGTTTAGTGCGGATGTGATATTCATGCGCGGAAAGTCAGACTACCCTAGTAGACAACTTTTCAGCCAATTCTGCTTATGGAGAACAAAGTCGGTCAAAAACTGACCTGATTTCGGGTGATTTGGGCAGTAAAGGGTAAGCACTGCCTAGCACAATTGCCGGCACTTGAGTCTTTTCCTGCTGCAAGTAAGAGCAAGGTTGACAAAATAACGGATAAAAGTATTTTCTGAACTCGCAGAAGATGTTCCGAAAAAATGCAAAAGACCAACCCTGTCAAGGAATCGAACCCATGACCTCCCATCTATGAAGCAACCTTACCTATCCACTACACCATCGACCGCTTGCTCCTGTTGTACTCGAACTTAACTTGAGCTACGCAAAGGAGGATCGGCGAGTACTATGCTAGAACCACCCCCCCCCCTAACTCCTCATAGAGAATCGTTCGGCAAATTTTGAAAGCAGATTTGAGTTCAGCGTCCCGAGACGTACACGTCGATATGCATCTCATCTTGAATGGCCATGGCGACCTGTTGACCTTCCCTGGTCAGACAAGCTAAGTTGCAGCGAATTGCGATTCAGTGAGAAGCTAGCAGAAATTGTACTAAATACAACTCCGAGAAAGTCGATGACAATAGGAGAGTTAGGATCAAAGCGACCCCCAGCTATACACTGCAGTAATTCAGTTTTGGCCTTGGGCTGTTTCATATTTTAACTTGACCAAAGCGGGAAGGCTGGAGTGAAATCCACGTTGTAGCGACACACAGAAATTAATATTTTCTAGATGGCTGATTCAATATATGGCAACCATTTCACTTTGAACCAATTAAGCCTGGCGTTAATGCGGCCCCACTCCTATCCGTACTAGAGCTATACGAGAAAGGAAAACCGTTAGTTTCAGGGGCATGCAATGGAAAAAAAGTATAAAACACTCAAACGGTGACCAGAGAAGAAACTAGTACAAACCCTTGATGATTCGCTGTCACACGATCCTTTGGCATATTTACACTCGTAACAGGACCAGCCTGAACCATCAGCTCCCACAGTACATTCTCCGTAACTTTCTCGTCCAGGCCTCCGACATAAATAGTAGCATCTAAACAAGCAATTAAAAAGCTATTTCGGTAATTTGGTTAAGGCATTCAGAACCACAACCATTTTCGCACATGGGAATAGGTTTACCTAAGCCTGAGCTTCTACCAAGGCTTAGTCAACAATGCCTAGCTCACAATCATTCACTTTTCGCGCTAAATGCGCCAATATAGCCCACCTAAACTGGACCCGAGCCAAGAGTCAAAGCAAAAACCATTGTGAGCAGTTGCAGTGACTTCGTGGAATAGGACGGTTTCTTTAGTAAAACGAAGAAAATGGAAGCTTTTCCGAAATTGTAAATAGTACCTTACCTTGGTTACGTTCAATGATAGGCCCAGCTGACATGATGAGCAAAGATCAGTTCTTACCCACCACACTAAAAACGTAGACTTAAAATTATGGTTGCAGTTTAGAAATAAGAAAGCGTTCAGATAAGCCAAGGCAATACCCATATCAATGCGACGAGTAAGGAACC